ATCATATGTCCCCCCGACTGCCCTTGCCCCTCCTCCACCTCCGCAGCCACTGACGGCCCTGTGAGCGGGCTCGCCCCTCGACTGTTGTTCCCACCGTAGCCCGCCTGAGTGCTACGCGCGAGATGGCGCACCCCGCTGCCCAAGGCCCCCATCGTGCGGAGGGCCTGGCAGCACTGTTTCAGAGTAGGCTCGAGTTCGTGACGACCGTGTACCTCGGGCAATCGGCCACCGAAGATGAGTTCGCCAAGCTGCAGGAGTCGGCCACGGTTTCCCTGGAGACCATGATCGGTCAGGCCACCAGCCGCTTGCCCATGGCCAGGTGCACCGAGCTCATGAACATGGCGGGCAACGTCGCCAAACTTGCCACTACACCCCATCCCCCTCTTCGTCTCCCGTTGGCCCACCCCGTCCCCATCGCTCTTCCCCTCGCTCTCCGTGGCGAGCCATCGGAGGGCCCTTTCCCGCCTCTGGCCGCGTACCCTCGGACGGCCCCCAGACGACGACGATGACGACGACGACGGACGAGGACGACGACGACGACGACGAACGGACGACGGACGACGACGACGGACGAGGACGACGACGACGGACGACGACGACGACGACGGACGACGGACGACGGACGACGGACGAGGACGACGACGACGAAAACGGGGACGAGCCCCAGGTGGCTGGCAGCCACCTGAGCCCGCCGCAGCGGGTGGGGCTTTCCAGGGCGCTGACCCAGCACGTCATGGCGCCCGCAGGTGGAGCCGCCGTCGCCGCTCGCCGCGGCAGTGGGCCAGGTCTCGGGCGCTATCAGACCCAGAGCGGCCTGTCCCTGCACAACTACTTGACGCACACGCAATGGGAGATCCTCGCGGACCAGACGGCCACCGTGGCGGACAAAGTGGCCGTCGTGGGACAGGCGATGGCAAACATCGGCCTGGTGTCCGCTGACGAGAAGACCTACGTCCACGCCGTCGCCGTGCTGATCCTGGCCCACCACCAGGGCATCCCGCCCAACATCACCGCCGTGAACTCGGCCGCGTGCCTCGGCGTCCTGCGTGACCTGAAGGCCTACGTGCAGAGAGAGCGCGGGGCGGCTCGTGCCCACTTCGGCCAGTTCCAGGGCTTGCCGCAGAACCCAGAGTTGTTCCAGCGCGTGCTGCCCCACGTGTACGCCGTCGCGTACCCGCAGGAAGGGCCCTGTGCGTGCCCTTTCCGCGAGGACGTGCGGGGTGTAGGAATGGGGGGGGAATGGGGGGAGGGGGAGGGGGGGGAGGAGGAGCTTTCAGCAGGCGCGGCGCGAAGCGTGCCAGGGGCACAACTAGGCGACTCAGGCACGAGGGGGAGGAGGAGGGGGAGGTGGAGGAGGAGGAGGAGGAGGAGGAGGAGGACGAGGACGAGGAGGAGGAGGAGGAGGAAGAGGAGGAGGAGGGGGGAGGGGGAGGGGGAGGAGGAGGAGGAGGAGGCAGGAGGAGGAGGAGGAGGAGGAGGAGAGGAGGGAGGGGGGTGAGGATGGGGGGCGAGGAGATCCGTTTCCAAAGCACTGGCGGCAAGCCGTCCTGCGCGCGCCTGAGGAGGATGAGGAGGATGATGAGGGGGAGGGGAAGGAGTGCTGTCCGATGTGATGGCCCCGTTCTGGATGCCACTGGGCCCTTTGGCCCATATGCCGCACGTTGATTGGGCCCCTTCGGCGGATAAAACAATAGGTAGGGGAAGGGGGGGGGGTGGAGGAGGAGGCCGAGGAGGAGAAGGTGACGGATGGGGGAGGAGGAAAATGAGGATGGCGAGGAGATGGAGGAGGAGGCGGAGGAGGAGGAGGATGGGGAGGTAGAGGAGGAGGAGGGGGAGGAGCAATTCTCAGACCCCCCGCTCTGAGGAGTTCATCGGGGAAATCCGCCAGCGCCTGCCTGCGCGCCAGTCCCACTCGGCAGCGCAGGGGACGCGCGGCGCCCTGACGCTCACAGCTCACGGGCGCGACGTGGCGTCGCGATCCCAGGTTCGCGGGACGCGCCCCCGCGCGGTCCTGGCGCTCCCAGCGCCGCCAGCGGGCCAGCCGCTCGCCTTGACGGACGCGCGCTGGCAGGGTTCGCAGTCCCAGGAGATCGGGCCAGCGGCGACCACGACGACGGCGACGACGGCGACGGCGGCGGCGACGGCGGCGACGGCGAAGGCGACGACGGCGACGGCGACGGCGACGGCGGAGGCGACGGCGACGGCGTTGCCCCCGCCGTCGTAGTCGTTGCCGCGGCCGTCGTCGTCGTCGCCGTCGCCGTTGTTGCCGCGGCCGTCGTCCACGCCGCGGCTGTCGTCGCCGTAGTCTTCGTAATCGTCGTCGTCGTCGTCGTCGTCGTCGTCGTCGTCGTCGTCACTCCCGCCGCGCCCGCCCAGGAGTCGCTCGCCCCCACCGTGGTGGAGTCCCAGGGTGACGCCTACGGGGGGCGCGCGCTGAGGCGCCTGGATGCCGTCGCTGCGCTTCCTGGCCCTGGCGCCGCCTTGCCCCCGCTCGGCGCCGCCGAGGGCGTGGGCGACCCAGGGCAGGGCGACCCGCGCCCGGACGCTGCTGGGGGGCCCGCCGCCTGCAGCGCCGCCGAGGTCACGCCCACGCTCGGCGACTTGGCCGCAGCCGCAGCCGCGGGGCCGCCAGTGGCGGGCTCCTGGCGCATGGACCCAGATGACGCCTTCGATGTCATGGTCTCGGAGCTCAGCAACATGGCGAAGTCCCTGCCGACGCAGGCCGAGGCGCCTCCGCTGGGCCCCCCCAATGGGAACCGCCGCCTCTCGAAGAAGACGACGTCCCCTGACTCGAAGGCGTGGCTCGCCGCGCACACGGCGCAGGACAGTGGGCCTGCTTCGCCGCCGCCAGCGCTGCCGAAGGTCGACCCGCCCAGCACGGGCACGAAGAAGCCACAGCTCAAGGCGTCGGGCTCGGCGCCGAAGAAGGGGGCAAAGGCTGCGGCGGTGAAGTCGAGCGTCCAGGACCTGTCGGACCTGCACCCCTGCCCTGGGAAGCCCGCCACGAACCCTGGGGTCAAGGTCATTCTGGGGGTCAGGGTCTACACCGACCTGAAGAAGGAGTCGTGGCGGTGCATCTCGCCAGGCGAGAGGACGGACAAGCCCTTCAAGTGGAGCGGCGCTGTTGGGCAGACCCCTGAGAGCGCGTGGGCGGCCCTGCTCCGCCACTGCGAGGATGTGCGCGCGCAGCAGAGCGGCGAGGCCAAGTAGGTGCGGCCCCGCGAGCTCGGTTTCGTTTTACTGCCCGCTGCCTTGAGGAGGCCTGCGGGTTGGCAGCCCAGGCAGCGGCGCGGCAGGCGCGTGCGAGCAGGCGCCTGCGGCACGAGTGCGACGAGACGCACGCGGGACGGCTTGCCGCCCGTGCT